AAAAAATATTCCCCAAAAAAACTATACACTAAAAGTAACTCTTTCAGTTTATTCTCCGTAAACAAAAACAGCACAACAGGTCTCAATATCCTGTATATGGACTTTGCATGTCTTCCTAACTAGTTACAAAATATTTTTCGTTTTTTTCAGGATATACTTATATAAATGATGAAAAGTTTAAAAAATTTGATTATAATGCCTATTTGACTATCGAAGAATTAAGAACTTATCAATATATGTATATATTTATTTTTGAGGTAAGCATTTATTTGTCACAATTCCTTTTCCTGCAGTATAGCTATAGACAATAGTTATGAGAAAATTTGAATTATTTTTTATTTACAAATCAATGTTTGTCGCCGTGTACAATGCTCTGAGAACGGCATTTTGATTCACTAAAAATAGAAGAAACAAAACAAAAGTTGTTTATAAAATAAATGTATGTATTTTTTAGTTTGTAATGCTTGCAATATTCATGCTGTCGAGGTTCATATTCGCAATTGACGTTGGGGAACTGGAGATGCCAAGAAAACGATCTCAACAACAGAGTGAAGCGAAAATTTTACAGGATATTGTTACTAAATAAACTTAAAATGCTAAATTAAATAATACATTCGTTATTTTTAGGTTGTATTTTATTTTACCAGCGTGCAACGAACCGCTCGTTGCGAATGTTATACTTCGTTACATTACAAAGCGTAACATTGGTTAGTGAGCATCTTCTTAAACATATTTATATAAACTTACTAGCTTTTGCACGTGACTTCGTCCGCGTGTAATAAAAAAAAAACAAAAGTATGTACTCTATATGTTTTTCCAGACTATTCTCTACACCTATGCCAAATTTCATTGAGATCCATTCAGCAGTTTCAGCTACAAACTCTAACAAACATCATTTCATAAATTTTCGCATATGTAATATTAGAAGTAAGATTGTATTTCATCCGACAAATTAATTGTGAAACAAAACATCTGATATTTCCATCATATATTATACAAGTTGGATTATTATTAGACAATTTACAAGAATTTAGTAGGACAGGCTTAATCTTCTATCTCTATTATTCAAATCCTCACCACCGCTACCTCAACGTTAAGGTGGCGAAAATTAAATACACGCAACATTGCACTGGTCTACCTTAGTCAAGGTAGATTCAGTACTAACGTTATACGTTTGAGTATGACAATTGTAAGTTAAAAATGTAGAAAGCCTTACAATTAAAAAACATGTATGTACTCGTAACAAATTTATTACAATTTTGCAAATTAAAAATAAAAAAAAACAATTAGTTGATTATAAATAAAAATAGATAATTGTTACAAAAACTATAAAACATACCCAAAAGTGAAATTGTAGGAACATTAAACATAGATAATAATGCAACAGTTAGTGCTGGATTACTGAATAAATGAACATTTACTGTTGCAAAATATATTATAGTGTGTCTAAATAATTTAGATTAGTTTGACACTTCATTTCAAATTTAGTAGGGATGGGTTGTGTAAAATCAGTCATGAATCTTATCGATTTTCGATTTTTATTCTTATAGAAGTTGGAATCGATAGATTTATAGTTATCACTTATGAATTTAAAAAAAAAACACTTTTCTCAAATTAATAATGAACATAACAAATAATGAGAGTAAACAAATGTTTACTACTACTACAACCGTACGTAATCGAATTGGATTCGATGGATCGATAATTATTTAAACCGAATATCGATAGTCCCAAATTGTTCGCTATGTGTGTAAGTTCGTCACTACGACACCTGTCTATTAAGTATGGCATTTGACTTCATAGAAATTGAATTCGATACTTCATATACGTCATTTATCAAACTAATCTATTTTACTTAGACAAACTATACACGATATCTTAGTGTATTGTTCTATACCACAATAAAATATGTCATGATGCTATTTCTAACATCTTTCTAATATTGCACACTTTTTCTCTCGGCTTACCAACCTTTTTACCTTGCGCAATTTCGTATTTGTCAATTTTTTCCCAACCTTCCCAATCTACTATTTGATGATTTGACAAGATTTTTTTAACCTCTTCAAATCCACCTTTAGGTGGATTTTTAAAGTCTTTAAAATCTTCACAGATCGCTTTAGCTACTAGGAATGCATTGCTCATTGTATGTAATATAACTCCTACCGGACCCGTCCCTAGCCATCCAGATACATAAAGCCTAGCCAAATCCTGTGGCGCATTATTTTCAATCACACGTCCTTTATCATTGGCAACAAATGCGTTAGAATCAAACACTATATCCTTATCAACCTTAACACTTTTATAACCTATACTTCTAAACACTAAACCACACTCTATAACTTCTTTTACGTCCGTAGCAACACATTTTTGATGTTCCAAATTGTCACCAACAACCTTGTTGCAAATCAATTCTATGCCACTTACGTTATTCGAATTGTTCTTCAAAAATTTACTAGGACTTCTAAAAAATATCGGCTTAAAATATTTATCCTTCGCTTCCCTACATTTACTAGTTTCATTCACAGATTTTAACATTAGTTCTGTCAATCTTTTTCTTGGACGATTAAGCGTTGCAACGGCATCCTCGACTCCAGCAAAGTCCTCTATTCTCCAAACAGTTACACAATTGGGGAGTTTTATCTGTTCCCTTAGTTCTTTGATCGTGAAAGCCACCTGCAATGGTCCTCTTCTACCGACCAAGTATAACTCATTTACTTTAGACTCTGCCAACGCGGTGAGAGCATGTTCTGTTATATCTGTTTTACGCAAAACATCTACAGGTGTCATCAGTATTCTCGCCACATCCAATGCAACGTTACCTTGGCCGAGAATTGCAGCCGTCGATACTGATAGATCTACCTTAAAATAAAGAAAAAAACATGTTTAACTAATATTATAAAAAAAACATCACCTTGGCCTTATTCTATTCACGTGAGGTCAAAACATTAGTTTTTATAAACGTTAATGTCAGCGCAGGCCTAGCACTGTATGTGCGGACTGGCATCTATACGTGATTATATTATGCCAGCGCTGATTTTGAATGCTATTGCCCTAATTTACGGACATTATGTAAACCAGGTATTACTTTTTGGCTTAATTTACAGCCGGACGATTGCCAGTCGCCATTCCTACTTGGTAGATTTAATTAATTATAGCTAAATAGTTAAGAGTGACATACAGAAATACAAAAAAAGGTAAACACTATAGTTATATAGGATGTTAGCAATCAAAATATATTATTACGAATAATTATTTTATTAATAAAAAGCCCTTCACTTGTGACACGCTTTAGGCTATATATTTCACGCTATTAAACTTAGGAAGTAAATGATTTGGAGTAAGTAACTTAGTCAGTTTATTTGAAATCACGGGCTGGTTTATTTACGAATAAAAAAGGCCATCATGCGGGAAAGGGGCAAAACTACAAGCTAAAAAGAAAGAAGCACGATAGCAAGCAATTTATAGATGAATGTTCAAAATATATTATCCAAAATGTAAGTCATTGAATAAACAGATTATATATAATTAGTAATCAACAAATTAATCTTAACTAATCATATCTACAAAACTCATATAACGGAACACACAATAAACTGTCCTAAAAATTCTGTGACAACAAAATTTTTACCAAAATTAACCTCAGTATCTCATTTGTAATTTATGTACAATACATATAGCGACATTGACTGTTTTTTTGCATTTTAATATGCAAGAAATCTCTTAATAAAATCATTCTTCTAGTAAAATCCATCATGTATTGATAAGATTTGATCTAAGGGGTAGACTGCTAATCTATATCTATCATTATTTCCATATATATATCTTTATTTACTTATTTTCTATCTAACACATTTTACAAATCATAGAAAAAAACAACAATAAATTGTATTATTATATAATATAAAAAATAATAAACAACCGACTGTGGAAATTTGATAACTCAAGAACAAAGTCAAGGCTGCAGATTTTTTTTATTGTTAAAGGTAGCATTGCATCTGCTTAAAGATATCTATGCAGTCACTTCAGAATTAAATTAGATGGTTACTTACTCTTTGCCACTTTTTACTATATGGTTATTACCTTCAAATCTGTGTCTCTCGGATGGCCATTGTACCAGCCAACAAAATTCCTAGCAGCCACTATATTATTTGCATCTTCATTATCAATACCCAATGTCTTGTCTTCTTCAGCACCATATGTCTATAAAAAATAATTAAGTCTAACTTAAATTAAAATAACGAAAAACACCCACTGTCTAAATGTAATAGTAGAATATAGTCAAAAACATCAAAAAAGTTATTGCAAGTGAGATTCAATCTTGGTTTTTTAATAATTTTTTTGATTATCACAACCACTGTAGGTGTTTTGTAGGTAATTACTTCAATGCCAATACATATACTACATAAAAACGAAACCAGATGTAAAAATTTTATGATTTGTATAAAACTATTAGAATATATTAATATTACTATGAGAGAGTGCATAATGAACACCATATATTAATCTGTTGGTTGGCACAGGAGTTAGAGGTCAATCAGAGGGCATGGTATGGTTGTTTTACTTTATACATTAGGCTAATAACTTACCAAAAGTACAGCATCATAATGTTGTCTCAGTTGTAACAAACTTATGTCTTTACCTAAGGTAATATTTCCGTAAAAGTTTACATTTGGCTTGTTTGCTACTTTTGTAAATTGATTGATCACATTTTTTACTTCAGGATGATCTGGTGCAACTCCAAAACTATAGACAAAACAATTATTAATTATTGATGAAGTACCTTGACAAAACAAAGTATCACACAAAAACCTTTGCTCTTAATTAATACTGCGTACTAAACAATGTTCTGACAATTCTTAATACCAACAGTGACAAATGAGTACAACCACTGGAATTCACCAAAATAGCAGTCGGAGAGAAACAGAAACAAACTACCCATGCCTCGCTATGTGAGATATTAACAATTTCTATGTAGGTAGTACACCATTTTTGACAATTGAATTTTAAAATCAAGGCCATATGAGATGTAATACATTCATAAAGTAATAAATACATACCGTACTAATCCGAAGGGAACCGGTAACTTTTCAAAGATATCAATATTGATATTAGTTAAATGTTTGCTTAAATGCATCGCCGCATAAAAGCCTGCTGGACCAGAGCCTACGACGCAAACACGAGGAAACATATTAGCAGCTGATGAATAAATACGTTTAATCATTTTTATATGCTTAGTAGGGAGCCGTCGAAACGATAATCTTGAGAATGTTACGACTGACTGTAACACAATATCAGTTCTAAACCAATCGCTCGGTATTTATTCATCACATAACAAAAACATCAAATCTACCATTTGAATAAATGCATAAAATTTACCAAAGCGTCGAATAAGAAACCACGGAATCGCTACTGATTCATAAAAAGATAAAAACTGAATCAGAAGAAATAATCCGAAACTTATCTGTTCTGTTTCTGTTTGATTTGATTTTAATCAAAGAGCATATAAGAGTCGGGGTTTCGCTAGCCGGATTTTAATTTACATTTTATATTTTGACATTCCCAGTAGTTTTGTTTTGACAATAGAAAAATATAGTGCCACAAGGACATTGATATTGTGGCATCTTTATGACATCGACAAGGGGGCGCCTACGAGCATTTAGGGTTCCCAGCAAGGTAGTATTTCCACATTTAAGGGATTTTTTCCTTTTTGAATACAAAAACGCAAATTGTAAAGAAATTACTTGTTCCTTATAAAGTAACTAGGAAATACTCTTGACTTTAGGAAGATGATTCGATATTTCAAGAAGCTTTGTAACTTATCTTGGGAATAATAGAAATCATAATGATTATTGTTGTTTACAATCAACGCACTGTACAAAATATGTGGTATGCCCAGTGGTTCGCACATTGTGTTATAAAATCATTAGTCAATTTCTTGTTATACTTCTCAGAGTACACAGTAATATTCTTATTACTTAAATATATATAGACATATATGTTAAAAAAAATATTTATTAGTTATGTAAGTATACATAATAGTTAATTTAATCACACAATTACGTATTGAAATAGAAAAAAATATTCATTTACATTTAAAAAAACAAGTACATCATAGAATAAAATCCTCGTAGATTTAATAATATGAAAGCGATGGTTCCCGTTGGACAAATCAGGGTAGAACTAAGGCGTCGGTCGCTGCAATTTGAAATAAATAGGTGATGAAACAACTAAAAAACTGGCCAAGACATTAAAGTTGAACTGACAATGTTATAGTGATACATAGTAGATCTTATGGTACCCAGCAATTTTATGAACTAAAAAAATGACAATGTCAAAATGTCAATGTCAAAAAGTTGCCACAAGCTCCTTGTGGCACTATACCACAAGTTTGCCTGTAGTCTTTTATAGGTTATAGATCTTATTAGCGTTTATCTTATTTTACCGTTGTTCTTGTATAAAAACTAATTAAAATGACGCGCACTGTTATAACTATTGGAGACTATATTGTTATCAAGAAGCAGAATTATAAGAAACTTCATAAATTTAACAAGGCAAATTCATGTGTAAACATTGGACGTGATAATGTAAATCTAAAAGGAATAGATGGTTGTGAATATTTTTCTATTTTTAGGATGTTAGCAAGAAATAAGAAGAATCGCGAATATGATTTAGAACTGAGTCCAGAAGCTATGGATCTAAAAAATGAAATCGATGTGAAAGAGTCAGGTACTGATAATAGAAACATATTTGATGATGGTCGATCGCAAAAGTTAACACCTGCAGAAATTAACGATTTAAGAAGTGATTCTAGTAGAGCATCTGATATAGTAGAAAGTCTTATAACTAATTCTAAAACATTTCATAATAAGACTGAATTTTCACAAGAAAAGTACTTAAGGAAAAAAGAGAAAAAATATTTTGAATACATACAAATTCTGCGACCCAATTTGAGGATGATAACTGAGATACTATATAAATTGGACCCAATCAAAATTCAAGGTATAAGAATAGATACATTATCACAAATCATTACATTATGTAATATTAGTTCTGAAGGTAACCATTTACTATATGATTCTGGTTCAAATGGTTTGTTAGCAGCAGCATTACTTAGTGCGATCGGAGAGCAAAGCAGTGGTAAACTAATTCATATGCATCCTGGAAATATGTCACAGAAATTAGCTTTACTGGGAATGAACTTTAGCATGGAACAAATGGATAGGTGTATTTCTGTAAATGTTTATTCTGCTTTGAGACAGTTCTATCAGGGATGTGACACCAATTGTAATGATGTTACTAACAATGAAAGTATTGATAGTAATGAATTAAAAAGAAAGGCTTTAAGAAATGTCAATGGTCATAAAAATAAAATAACTAAACATGAAGATGCTGCAGATGTTACAAACATTGAAGCAATCATGTCAGATGATAATAATGAAGACTATGAACCAAAAAAGCCGAAATGGCACTTTTTAAATATTACCGCATCAAAATTGTTATCAGAAAAGGCAGATTCTTTGATTATTGCTTGTAAAGAGGATCCACAAAATATTTTTAATGAATTATCAGGCTTTGTGAAACCAGGAAGACCATTTGTTGTATATTATAATGTTGCTGAGCCTTTGCAGAACTTGTATATGGGACTTAAATCAAAGGGTAATGTTGGCGCTCTGAAACTTACATGCAATTGGATGAGGAACTATCAGGTATGTAAAGATATTTTTTTGCACTTCACATTATTGTTGTGACCAGGCAGGCATCAAATATGCTTTAGAAAAATGACACTTGTTTTTTAAACTGATGATGCAAAGCAAACATAATGAATTTGAAATTCAGTATGATGTACTAATTTACATTGCAGTTAAATGTATGTGGAAAACATCAAATGAAAGGTTCTTTGTTAGATCCATATGTAAAAAATATTATTTTTAACTTGTTTGACATTTATTTTTGACCAACATCCCAAAAGAAGGAGGTACTCAATTCACCTGTATGTTTTTTTTATGTGTTGATTGTTAGATTTATTACTATACTTTCAATTGTAATTGTTATGGTAAAAATGTAGAAAGCCTTACATAGAAATATCACTGCCTATCTCGGCTGACACCAACATCAAAGTAATAATAATTGTACAATATAGACATGACAGCTACAATAAGGGAGGTTTACATATTCAAGGAATTATTTCATTACTTTTTAGTGTATTGTTGTTTTGAGACTATTTTATTTAAGTGTTTTTTGATTGGAAGTCGGTTTTGTTTTTTTATTATAATGTTAATTTTTTGTTCAATTTTCAATATGTTTGCGCCTTAGAAACTTGGACATCACAATATCAATGTTATTTAGAGACTATAAGGAACACATTGATATATTAAACTCACTAATAAAAAGCAACAAAATGCAACAATTTTTGTCAGTCCTTACTCCCATATAAAAAGTAATGATCTTTATTTTTCAAGTTATATTTAGTGCTTAGATATATAAGAAACTTAATTTTTTATAACAGCTTAAAACAAATTTATTTATTCCAGATACTACCAGAACGAACACATCCAGAAGTGACTATGGACAATGGAGGTGGATTTTTGTTAAGTGGATACATATTTAAATGATTATATATTTATAAAAAATTAATAAAACATGTTTTATACAAAGTTTTAATGCTTTCATTTGCTCAAATGCACATATATAAACTAAATGCATCATACAAATTAAGATCGACACAAATAGACCCCATTAATCTCAATAACTAATAAAAAATGAGTGAAGTTCAAAGAACCATTGTCTAGGTATAATGAATGTGTCATATTTTGTGTATAGAAAGTCCAACTAGCAGCGATACATTGTAATTCATGTTGCGTTTTCAACATGAATTGTGAGAAAGTCAAACACTGTGGAGTTCGCAATCTATTATCTATCTTTTTCTTTCCTGTATACTTGTTATGTCTTGTGTTCCCCCTCCTCGCAAAAATGAGGCGGATTTGTCAACATTCCAGCGGCCATTTTAATAATATTAGTGAATCACTGCATTTACTGTTGATTTCTATTATTTTTCGTTACTGTTAAGAGTGGTTGTTATTGAGTGTGGCAAAACTGATTTTTACTTTTTTAAACTACGACGTGATCTCAGTATACAGTTGAAACTTTTTACTAATTTCAGGTGACTAGTTAATTAAAAAAATATGATTATTCTCATTTCAATTAAAAAAAGTAATAAAACGGAGTGCTTCTTCTAGTATAACATAATTCAAAAGTTACGCACTCCTGCACTTTGGTATCGCTTCTCGTTGGACGTACTTTAGATAATAATTTACAATAAGCTAATAATTAACATATATAGCCCCTGGCAGTTCATGTAAAAAATTTCAACCCATTGTTTAAATCTATGGATACTGGGCATAATGGGTTGTTACATAGTATACTTATATTATACATCAATCTAAGTTACTTTATCTACTTACTGTCAAAGCGAAATCAAGCTTAGGAAAAACACTGAATTATTTCATTTCTAACATAAAAAGAAAATACATCTGGAATTGATTTTACAAACATGTGGTTAAATATTTTAGTCTTAGACGAAAAGAAAAATATATATAAAAGACTATCTATGTGTATATTTATTTGAATTTTATATTTCATACATATAAATGCTGAGGGTGTGTCATAAAAAATTTAAGTTAATTACATTTGGAAGCTATCTTGACATATAATTTGATATTTTCTAACTAAACAATACAAACTCATATGATTTCAATAATTCAATGTAAAGCTTACATAACCTGTATAGTTTCAAGTGAAGAGTCGAACTGTACGGTTTAAACTGGCGTGTGTAGACTGAGAACTGTACAGTTTAACTAACAGTTAAAACTTAGCCTACCCATATCAGTTTTTACTGTACAATTCGACTGTTTAGTTAAAACTGAAGGTGTATAGCAGACTTTTGATGTTATCTTATACATAATGATAAATAAGTTATACCATTTCGAACTCTCACATCACAAATTTACATTAAGCGTCTAAAAGCTGATGTTAATACTAAAGTAGCTGTAACAATTGTTATATGTATTTGTAATCACATTTAAAGTTGAACAAATTTTATGACAATAATAATGTTATATTCGAGAAATTTAGACTCTTCCAGATGTAGCGACTGTCAACATCAATGATGTGTTAAAAGACATTTCAACATACAATTGCAAACACTGCTTACGTTAAGCCCACTACACGTAGTTTTAACTGTATGCTTTGACTGCAGAAAACTGTAGGAGTGTAGGGGCTTAAGATTTGTAAAAAAAATATAAATGCGAGATCATTTATTGTCAAATTTAAATTACATTAACAGGCAAGTATACCTAGTTTCGATCAAACGCCTATATTAATCGAGCAAGTCAAATTCCATACACATGACGGCCATTGTGATTTTGTGATAAATATTAATAAAGCAAATTGATATAAAATAAGGTCCGCTTTCACTACTTTACTCGTAATTGAATAGTTGAGCTGTGCAGTTTAACTTACGTGTGTAGGGTAAATTTTAACTGTCAGTTAAATTGCAAAGTTCTTAGGTTTCCTACACACATATGCAAACCAAATTTAACTGAACAATTCAATTAAAATTGTAAGTGTGTAGCAAGCTCAAGGTTAATGTTTAAATAAGTGTTTTATCAAACATATTTTGAATGTTACTTTAGTGTTATTTAGTTTGTATTGGAACACAAAATAAAATTATTGCTTCAAATCCATTGTTGGAGGCTATTTATCAACCAAAGTATTGAAATAGTTTCCAGATGTGAATGGTAATTTCAATAATCAATATGTTAATGTGTGGAATATTCTAACTGAAATATAAAGACAACTTCTGCTAAACAGGAATGTTACAAAAATAATGAAGCGCTCAATCACAATACTAAGGTTTCCGCGATTACCCTAATTAAGCATAATCTGTTGTAATATAAAATAATTAAATACATTTCATATTAATTATGTTACAGCAACTTAAAAATAAAATATTTTTTTAAATACAATATAATTTTTTTACCCTATATCTATGTAAATTAAATTATAATCAGGAAATACTACATTCCAGGGACTATAAAATAGGTATACATTTGATGTTTTGAACAATCAGCACTTCATAATGTATTCAATGTATATGTACAATTATTTTGATTGCCAAAATAAATGTAACAGTCCAATCCAATGGAAATGAGAAATTTTATTTATTTACTACTGATCGCCCGCGACTTTATAAGCGAAGTATGAAAATTAAAAGTTCCGTCAAAATAGATCCAGCCATTCCGAAAATTACCTGAAACAAACGCGGCCTTGCGGGCAAACATTTTATTACTTCTTTTCTTTTTCGTTACCAAACGCTTTATAAATTATGTTTAAGGAATATGTTTTTTTAATATCACATAGACATTCCAAATAGATTATAATTATTTACACTCTGACCATGTCATTTAGTGTCTATGGGTTTGTTCTGGAAAGTATGTTTAAAAATTTAAAAAACAGACCTGTCTTGTAAATGTAAAATTGTTTACACAGGTCTGTTATAATTTCTCATTTCAATTGAACTCCAGAGTATCAAGCTTTAGCTAAAATATTCTTTGTAATAATAACAAAAAACAGCATAATAAATTAATACACTAAATTGTAAACCGTTTAATGTGTATTAAAACTAAATCTTAACTAAACGGCTTTTATCAGTATGAGGCGACTCTGAATTTAATATAAATTTTTGATGTTTTTTTTTGTCGTTTTTGTATTTTTTTTTAATAATTTTATTAATTTTTATGCTTGCACACTACATTTAAATTCATTCTAAATTTTTCTGAAATATTCAGGGCCCTTGTATTATTTATTTACACAATGCTTGTATGAACTTTTTTAAACATGTTTTCAACATTTTCTATGCAAATAGCTGAAATATCTCCGTTGTCTTACAACAGGGAGAATGTCTCATCAAAATAATACTTAAACAGCCACCATCTTATATTTTGTCACGCACCTTAATTAAAAACTATTTTAGTAATTATAGTGACGAAATGGATGAAAGTAAAACAAGCGAGTTAACTGCACCTTCAAATAAATTTGATAAACTGAACAAAGGCCAAAATTCTATGACATAATTGTTATTTTAATCATAAATTAGAGAATAACTTTGGTATTGGTGTAGTTGTAAAGGTATACCGAGCTGTGGAGGCAGTGTAATGCAGATTGCACTGAAGCATTTGGTGCCCGGGCCTCAGACGTCAGGACGTCAGAACGTC